ACTAAAAATCTAATTCACACAGTTTCCCCCAAACGTGGCCAATCAGCTAAGACATGTTTACTTCTTTTGTTCTGCACTGGAGCTACAAGACTACTGTAGCTAAGTAATGCAATCTTCTATCCACCAATTAGCAATAATCATCAGAAAAACTATACTTTTCGGATACAAACGCTGCCACTGTAGTGGTGTCCTCAGGGGTACATCTTCAGTACCTTTAGTTTTGGAATGGAATTGAACCATAGTGATTTGTATGGACTTCATACACCCTGTTTTCATTCCTATGAGGCTATGAAAAAAAGTACATTGATCCTGATAAAGTGAATCTATTGCACCCTTAAAACTTATTAGAGGTTACCAGTTGGACCTTAAGTTGGAATTCCACTGATTGTTTGAGGAAAAAAAAGTCATAATTCAGTGGTTGAGATGTAAACAAAGTCATGCGGAGTGGTTTGATGTCTAATAGTTCATTGTAGACAAACTTACATTTTCCAGATTTGCAGTGGTGGTGATAGGAACCAAGGCTCATGATGTCTACGGTGCAAATATAGCTATTTTATTTTTGTTGATGTTGGTAAAATCATAGCAAATGGAAAAACTTATGGTACTGTTTTGCCTTACAGCTCCTGCATGTGTCTCATGTGTAAATTAAAAAAATATGTTTTAGGCCAACACCTCATAATAAAAGTATCATTTTATGTAATGACCTCCTGTGAGGGAGCTTATAGAAGCATTGAACTCTTCATCTGGTTCCTGTCAGCACCACTGTGAACAGTTATGACTTGGGAAGTTTCTCTAAAATTCATTACATCTTAACAATTCAGCTATGTGGAAATTAAAAAAAAATGTTGGAATTCCCTTGAATGGCCATTTTGTATCTTTGAGGGTACATTTACATTGTTTATGCCTTAAGGGACTAAAATACAGGGTGATTCAAAAAGATTCGTCCGATTTCAAAATGATTCATTTCACTTGTAAATCATTACAGATCAATGCAGTGAACTGTAAATAAACATAAAGTTTATTATGTAATTGTACAAGGTCTCAGTATGAACCTCCTCCAGCTGTACAGACAACATCAACGCCATAGTCAAATTCATCCCATACTCAATTGATCATGTCGGGTGTCGCTGCACTCACGGCTCTTTCAGTGCGATTTCGGAGATCATCCAGTGTTGTGGAACCAACGCCGAACGCTCTGAGCTGTTGGAGCTTCACTGCCCACGAAAATCACGCTGAACAGTTATGACTGATTCACTCTTATTGAAGTGGAGAACGCAGAACGCTTTCTGCTCAGGGGTCTCATCTCCTCTCAGACTGAAGGGAGCCGTCTTCCACTGACAGTCAGAAACTCTATGACCCCCTCTTTCAATTGGTGTGTGATTGGTTCCTAGACGCCTCACGGTTGTAAAAAATATGGCGCTTTGAAATCAGATGAATCTTTTTGAATCACCCTGTATACCTGGGCAGTACTTTTTTCTGACTAATTAACAGGTAATTAATAGTACCTGTTATGACAAATGTATTCAGCCCTTTATGTTGTTCCCCACACAGTCAAAAGATTCCAGACATGCCATCAGACGTGGTTGGAGCTCTGATGTTTTTAGAGGACTATGTGCGCTACACAAAACTGCCCAGAAAGGTCAGATCTTAACACTGTTTTCATTAATAGATGCTTAGAAATGCAGGACAGTTTCCTGTCTATATTCAACAGGCACTAAGGCTATGTTCACATTACAAGCCTCGTTGCTAAAATCCGATTTTTTGCTCAATCCGATCTCCCTGACTCGATGGTTCACACTTGTTTAGGTAAGTGATTAAAATCTGTCATTAATGTGACGAACCGGCGTCCTGAAATGACCCTCATGAGCTCATCCTACTCAGTAACGTCACGTGAATGAATCACGTTCATCATCAGCACAAACTAACGAGCAGAACGAGCTTCGCTGAGAAGGTAATTAACTCTGATCAGCTCTCAGCTTCATTATTAGAGCGAGACGAAGGAGAAAAAGGTGAGATGAGCTGCTTTTCCACCGTTTACAGGCTTTAGCTTCTGTTTGGCGCATGGCCACGAATCGGATATGTATCCGATCTAGGACCACATATGAAAGTGGCTCAGGTTGGATTTGAAAAGATCAGATTTGTGTGTCCACACCGATCTGAAAACATCAGATCTGAGTCACATTAGGGAAAAAAATCAGATTTGTGCCACTTCAGCCTGGTAATGTGAACGTAGCCTAAGAGCTTTAAGTGTTCGTACAGATGATACTGTCTAGATAATAACTAAACTGATGTGCATAAATAGCTAATAGTAGGAAACTGGATTCTGACTGTGTGAAATACTAAAGTGGTATTCATGCTCTGTTCTGTACAGGTGGTTGAAGCTCACGTCCCGAGTTTCATTTTCGATGAATTCAGAACTGTGCTGTAATCATTCACTTCATCCAAAACAAGTATTAATTCGTTTGCCTTTTACAAATCTTCAAATCATTTGTGACACCATTTTGCCTTTTTTTAAAGCACTAATGATTCACTGATTTAATTATGAAGGTTAATTACTGTAACATTTTCATATGAAAAATTGTTTCATGTTCTGACTTAACTCTACAAAATATATAGATGTTCTTGTAATAAAATGATATAAATGAATGGTTTTGGTGCATATTTTATTCTTATACATACCTAGCACTAGTCCGTCAAAGCTAAATCGATCATTAGACCTGTCACGATTAGGACATTTATCTAACAATTATTGCAATATGAATTAATTGAATTGTGAATGACCATTTGTCCATTTGTCTAATAGAGTACAATATTAAAGTGGCCAGATTGGCTGATTAGCTATGTTGCTTCTGAAATATTAGCTCACTGCCATCCCAAATGTGTTATAGTTATATATCATAACATCAGTGAGACGTTATAAATTTGCAAGATGGTTTTTTGTTGGTGTATTTATTGAAAAATTGTGTATGTTATCATAGTTTTTGCTGCACTTTTATTAAACCATTAAGTCCCCTGAGACCAAACATTATTACAGAGCCCCAAAAAAAAAACAAAACAAAAAAAAAAACATTGCATTCCCTTGCAAATGCAATGGTTTGTGCAAGTGAACACAAATTTTTTGTGAGGGGACGCAATGCTGTTGCAATTTCTTTCCGCAATGGTACTTTAGGGGTACATTATCGTACGTTATAGTGATTTTACTATGTGTAAAGGGGTTTTAGGGTGGAAGTGCAGCCCTTACCCTTGATAAAATCACAGTAGCACATGGCCTCTCGTAGCTCATTGCTGTGTTAGTCACTTCATCACACTCACAGATGTCATGTCAATGAAAGTTTTATTTTGTATTAAATATATTACAATACTGAATGATAATTGTAAGAAAAAAAATATGGGCATTGACCTTTTTCAGTTGTTAGTATATATACAGCACACTATGAAAGAAAACAGCCATGAACAGATGTAGCATTGGAATAAAAGTAAAAAACAAAACAGTTTATGAAACAGACAGTATGATGTGTCAGACTAACGTAAGGCATTTATGAAGTATCCTGAAGCGAACGCTGACTACAGACACCGTGCACTGTTGATGTAGATTTGTTCTCATTCTCCAACTGAAACAACCCTGAAATTGTTTTTATTGTTAGAATACTGTTTCTGGCTGATGACGTGATGCTCTGTGGACAATAATGTTGTGTATGGATTTGATGTGCCTACATGTGACTGTCGTGGTCCGGAGAAGTTGTGGTTTGTGTTGCTCGGAGGCCGGGTGCACTGTACTCTTCAGTTACATTCAAGAGCGTTCGCCTGGCTCTGTCTCCCAGCGTTACGGGAGCGCAAAGCCAGTACTCTGAGAAGCAGTACAGCACGTATTCGCAGCAGGGAATTAAAACTGACCTATTCATGCTCCGCCCATAAATGCATTCAGTGGTAGCAACTGTTGCTATGTTGGACAAGCTTAACAGAATGTTGACAGAAATCCCATTGGACGTAAGGAGAAACTGTAGCTAGCCGTGACTCTAAACGCCTTAATTTGAATCTGTTCTGAATGTGAACCCAAATGTAGTAAAACTCGCAAACGAGCAAGTTTCTAGTGGGTTGTATTTTCTATGAACCTCAGTGTTTGCGTCATGTGGTCACAGCATCATAGAAAAAACTAAAACTTGACAGTGTGAATATGGATTCACATGCTGCGCTAAAGTTCCTCACGCTACTGCTGCTACTGCAGAAATGCTTAGAACACTTAACAAGCAAGCGGAAAGATCCACATCGACTTTTCCACCAACCCAGCACATCGTCTGATTCAGCGACGTGTTCGCCCAATTATGTAGGCATATTCCTTCAAATAAAAAAATCATTAAAAGATAAACCCGTGCCCAATACTGTATCTGAAAAATCCAATGTTTTGATAGAAACCATCACTCTTGGGTCAAGCAGCAGACCTCTAAAGAGGATGGAGATGAAAATGTAACACCTAGCATCTCTTCCAAAGCGCGATTTGGGAAGCGTGTAATATGGATACGAATGCTAGGAGACTAAACAGGGCAAGTGCCAGAGGTCAAAAACTTTTTTTTTGCCTGGAAAATCATGGAGAAAAAAACGTAAAAAGTAAACAGTTCAGCCTGTAATTTTCTCAGGGGAAGAGAGAGAAAAACACCAACATGGCCAATATGGACAGAAATTCGGTCCCATCCAAAAAGGGCTCTTGTTGTTTCCAACCTAACTAACGTCAATTAACAGCTAACATAAAAACATGCTTGCTAGCTTAGCATCTTAAAGTTCAAACACAACATTATCCAGCAACATAAACAAAACTGTGTTCTGTTGTGAAAAATGTATTAAATTCCCAGTAGTCGGAATGTTCTTTGAAGCTTGTCTACCCCAGCAACAGTGCCTAGAAAAGAACACAACGAGCATGGATAGGCCAGTTACAGTGGACTGACCCCGGGCACAGTAACCGTGAGTATTAGAAGGACAGTGAGAAAGTATTGCTTGAGATGTTGTTTCTTCTTTTTGGGTGCCTTTGGGTGCAGCCTTCAGCAAGACCATGTAGAGCCATGCACTTCTACACTGCCCAGGAAAAGAATTAGAGGAGTATGTAGATGACTGAGAGAGAGAGACAGAGAGAGAGAGAGAGAGAGAGAGAGAGAGACAGAGAGAGAGAGAGAGAGAGAGACAGAGAGAGAGAGACAGAGAGAAGCATTAAATCATATTTCTACACAAAGAGAAACGCTGGGGAGAGCGACCATGTTGTCATTCCTGTGGTGTAAAAAGTTGACCGTTCACAAAATAAAAGACTGCACCTGTTCCTAAATCTCAGTTTACACAAAGAACTATTGTAGTTAATAATCATAATGCACTTAATTTTGGGATTAAATGTGTACATACAAGAATACAGGGGTGGGGAATAAAAGAACATTACAAAGATGCCTTAGAAATACTTCTTGCGTGTGTTCGGGCGACGCTGTTCAGACGTCGCCGTAACGTTTTTGTTGCATGTACAGTCCGAGTGCAGACAGCGGTAAAGAAAATTGGTGCCCACATTGAGAAACAAATGCATCTTCAGAATACAGACACAGCAGGCTTAGTGAACATGAAGACTATTTACAGATGAAGGCCAGGAAGCCGGCCTACCTCACACACGACAAATACAATACTGACCGCACTGGGTTTTCTCCTCTTAGGTGACCTTAAAGGAAAACTCCTGTTTTTTCAACTGATCTCTATCTTCTGTAAATGTAGCACAATGTTGACTACCATGACATACAGCCTTGTGCATCTTCCTGGATTTAGAAAAACACTGAAAACCTGCTGACCTGATCTGCACAGAATGGAAGCCAATGGGAAGATGTTGAATTCTGCTGTGTCGTTTGTGCAGTAAAAAATGTCTTCATTGCTATACCAGCGCCTACCCAACAGTGGGTGTGTTTAGATGCACTTAATAATCCGACCGTTATTGGATTTTGGCAGTTATCTGATTATTCGAGTGATCATGTATACAGCACGCTCTATAATCCGAAAAAGAGATCTGAATTGTAGCTCAGTGCTCAGCATTTTCAGTGCATGCATACCCTTACTCTGATTTCTTTCGTTTTCTCAGTCTGTGCATGAGTGGAAACAGAGCGCTGTAATGGAAATAACAAGTAACGTTTAACACAGCACCCACGACAAGACAAAGCACTTTCGGAGCAAAGCTACATGCTACATGCTTGACGAAATGAAATATTTAAATATTCTTCATCTTCTATATGATGTATTTTCATATTTTCCACTAAAGTGACTCGATGTTTAAAAAATGCCACTGAATGACGTTTGAGTTTGACATTGCATTTATGTCACCTCTTCTGTGAGTTTACTGGCTGGTTGCTGAAATCTGATTTCAACCTGTTGGGAAAGTTATGAGCTCGGGGCAGATACTGACTTTCATGTTGGAACCACACGGGGGCGCCAAACACCTCACGTATGCCTTTATTAATTGTGATGGGGCTTAGCCGGAAGAAAGGAGGTCAACGGCGGGAAAACAATGATTTTGGTTGGCCCCGTGGGCGTCTTTCTCTCTCTCTGATGCTCTCGTTCCCCTTTCGTGGACTCCTTTTGTCTATGTTTTGGATTTTTGTCGGAGCACCCATTCCACCGACTAATAAAACCTGAACGCTATCATGGGCACAGCTTGAGCTAGTCGACCACAGGCTCAAGGCTTGGGCTGACCCCAACCCCTTTCCAGGTGACTTAGAGGCTCGGCAGCAGGTGAGTTGGCCTTGGGTGGGGGTTTCCAAATAGATTTAGGCACGCAAGTTTACTTAGCCTCATGTTTCACGCTAAATCACAACACGTAGGGACAGCGTGCCTTGGTTACAGTCAGGACTAGAATACATAAGTTAGACCCTGGAAAAGTTTCCCATTATCTGATTATCCAAGTGTATGTAAATGCGTTTTACTCAAAAAGTCTGATTTTCTGCAGCTATTGGGTTATTAAGTGCAAGTAAACACACTCAGTGATCGGTCGAATGAGTTCATGTCACCGTTGAAAGTTCTCAAAAATCAAATAAAGCTGCATTTTTCCCGTCAGTAAAATGCCGTTTGGTGTGTAATACATGGATAAATCACACAAATAAACTGCGCTTGGTGTTTGACGGCCTTAACAGAACCAGTCTGGTGACACTGAGAGACTGTCTTAGTACAGCTGTTCTTATGAAGTTTTAGCCAAATTTTAAACCCTAAAGCAACACAGTAATAAAGCAGTTTGATTTGTTCTCTGGTATCCATGGAAATCAGGCAGAAGCCTCCACCTACACCACTACACTGGCAATGTTTGACCAAATTCTTCCCTCTGGAAACCCAGTCCCATCTCTGAAACAACAACCGGCACAGATTAACAGCTTAATTTACAAATACCTTTGAGGAATTTTGACAAGCTTTCTACAAAAATATGTTTCGCATGTTGGCTGGCAGAATTCAGGACCTGCCCAATGGCTTCTATATGGAAGAGCCTCAGGTTTTCTGTTCTGTTCTACGCACAGGGATGCGGAGATTACCGTCCGTGGTGATTAACGGTGCAGTACAGATTACAGAATACAGAGATTAGGCTGAAAAGTGCAGGAGTATTCCTTTAAAAGCTCTCAGCATCCTAAAACCTCACAAGGCTTCCTTTGTAGTTCCGACTTTGCTCAGAAGCAGTCACGTTTTAATCGAATGGCAAAAGAAATCCCAAAATGATGAGACTAAGGTTATGGATGACTTAGGTTATGGATGGTCTACAGGATCAGTACTTCCACAGCAGACTGCTGCTTCAAATTGCTCCACAAGTATTCTGAAGAACCTGGAGGATGTACAGAGATCTTTTCAGCCTATTTTACATTCACAGAACCCCCAATGTGGCTGAGAACAGACCTCTTTTTCCTAATCCATGACCCCCACCATCCACTTAGACGTTTTTTTTTCTCCCCAACACTGAAAAACATTTCATCAACAGCTTTTTAAATGACAAACTATTATACATAGTGCACTTCAGGGGAGGATCTATCGCACCGATATTCCGAACAAGTTCACGGCAATGTCCGTCAGTAATAGCACAGCATGTAATCGTAGTATTCACAGCGAAGCATCCAAAACCAGCATTCCGCCATAACCTTTTTAGAACTGCGACATTCTTTACTCTTGAGGGCGAACTACAGATCCAAGATGCAGTTAAAGCGTGTGAGTAAATGAACTCGGTTTGGACGGTGGATCTCGGGGGGATTTAGGAAACACAAAGATGAGTCGAAAACAAAAATGACGAAGGAGGCAGATTTACATTTTTCCGGACGATCCCGATCCATAAAGAACATACGAACATGAACTCACGTTTCTTCTAGAACCTACCAATTGTAAGTGCAAATAAAGGGGAAAAGTAAAGAAAGCGAAACGGGAAAAAAAAAACAAGCACACGTTTCACTCCTTGTCTTTGAATTATACATATTTACAGAAATCTCTGAGAAAAGAAGAAAGTAACGTTAACAGAATAAGAGATAGTGTAACGGCGGGGGGGCGGGGCTGGATGTTGTTATTAGCATCGATGCACTGTATGATGAGCTCAAGCCTAAAAATAAGAAATAAATCTTACCGGCCTACAGAACTTCCCTCTGAGACATGCGGTCCCCTAGCGTGACTGACCTTTATTAAAATATTATTTTTCATCGTCGTCGTCGTCTTTAGCACTACAATGAGTCGATAAACATGTATTCTCATGCATACAGTGGAAGTTTCTACAGTTGAACGCGTGCTTTCGAAAAACAAAAGTCACATCCAGGGTTGATGGCCTTCTCACACCATGGCAACAAGGACACCAATCACAAGACATTATTGGTGTTTAGGGGCGGGGCTTTATTGTCTCTGCATTACTGGGGGAGTGGCTGGGGGCGTGGCTCACAGTTTGATACCCCGCCTCTTCCGCTGGCTCCTCTACTCGGCGTGGCCGGAGCAGTGCCTGGCTTTACCTTTTGGACCGAAAGCAAAGTTCCCCAGTCCCGTGTTGGGCGACTGCAGTGGTGGGAGAATGACGGCTGTGCTCTTCGAAAGCTTGCGGGGGGGTTTGCGCCCACCCTCCGATGGACACCGCTGATCCCGGAGGACTCGAAATCAATTCACCCCTTTCTCCAGTTGTTCCGTTTCGACTTCTCTTTTTTTCTCATTTGTTTCGTTTTTTCTCGTTTGTATAAAAGCGGAGGAGAACGTAGTCCTTAAGGAGATTTTGCAGAGTATTTGCGAGGAGATCCTTTATATTGATGTCTCCCACAGCTGGAAGACAAGGAGAAGGGAGAAAAGAAAGAATGTCAGTGATACGTAGGGTGAAAAATTTAGTTACAGCCACATAAAAAACCTAACTGGGTCCCCCATAAGAGTGTTTTGAAACTCCAAGGTCGTATTCAGATTCCTTGTATTTGTAATGTGAACAGATTTGAAATGATACCTGATATTTTCCATTTTGTTATTTTGTGATTTATGTGGTATTTCTGAACATTTTTACTTGTTTTAAGTACTTTTATCTAGAAAATTTTGCTTGTCTCAACAAAATAATCTGTTCACAGAATTATTTGCCTTAACTCGCTGGTTAATTTAACTTATTTTAGTTACATACTCTGTTTTAACACATTTGGAAACAAGTTAAAAAATCTTATTACTTTCTTACATCAATCTCAAAATGATAATGTACGCTTTAAATACACCACTGTAATTTGTACAGGTAGTGAACTGCCAGAATGTACTCTGTGTATTTATAGTTAGGTCCTCAAATATTTGGACATCAATAAAGTTATTATTATTTTAGTGCTGGCAGCAAGAAGGGCCTGGGTTTGAATCCCAGGCCAGGCGACCAGGGTCCTTTCTGTGTGGAGTTTTCATGCTCTCCCAGTTTCTGTGTGGGTTTCGTCCCAAAGCCATGCAGTCAGGTCATTTGTACATGCTAAATTGCCCCTGGGTGTGAGTGTTTGTGTGAATGTATATGTCTGTCTGTCTGCCCTGTGATGGACTGGCGACCTGTCCAGGGTGTTTCTTGCCTTCTGCCCAGTGACCGCTAGGATAGCACCCCCCTGTGACCCAGAAGGATTAGCGGTTTAGAAAATGTGTGTGTGTGTGTGTGTGTGTGTGTTTAGCGGTCTAATTGGGCATACTGGAGTTGAAATTAAATGAAGACTTTCAACTTTAATTGGAAACTTACATCCAAATGAGGTGAACGATGCAGGAATTACAACCATTTTCATACACAGCCCCTCATTTTCAATCATAAATTAAACTGTCATTTTTAGCACTTGGTTGCAAATTCTTTGCAGTCGATAGCTGTGTCCCAATTCAGAGGCTGCATCCTTCGGAGGCTGATTGTGTCACAGCAGTGCGACTAGGCTGTCCCATTTCGAAGGCTCCTTCATATGTGGCCAAGAAACGTGTCCTTCTTTTCCATGGCAACAAAGGATCCAACGGATGGATCCTGTTCTTGTGTTTAATCCTGCTTAGTAATCACTTTCCCCACATCTACCACTCCAAAAACTCTGCAGTAACACTGTACAACTTCAGCCTGAACAGGTGGCTGAACTGCTGTACACTAAATAGGTGGTCATATGTAAATACATTCATAACATCACAACCATGATAACAGACTTTAGCTTGGTCTCACCCTGGCACTCTGTCTGTTGGCCTTCCTCTCCTCGTCGGGGAGTGGGGGCATGGGGTAGGGGTATCTTCGGCTGGAGGCGATGGAGCCCGTGGAGGAGGTCGGGGACTTGGCCGGCGACAGCGTCCTGTCGGGGGAGGAACGGAGAGAATGGACCCTGCATTAGAACCATGTTCCATTCTATAAGGATGCATATGATTCAGTCTACAGCACATTGTGGGTCAGGAGCTGTCACCTTTGACCCCTCACAGAGGTCAGAGGGAGCACTTCCAACACGAGTCGTCATCCAAAAGCAACTGTTTCTACTGTGGAGACTTTAGAATGCTCCGGGCTACGTTTGCCCCTTTTCTGAGGGATTCAGACAACATGGTGGATGTGATGTGGTGAATATGGACAGACTAGATGGCGCTGGTTAGCACTACACAGAGTAAGCTCAACACTGACGTCATGATGACAACACAGACGGACAGACGGACACGCACACAGAGCGGTTAGCATGCAGAAAGAGCAGAAGAGAGGTTTGTGTGTGGAAAAACAGGCCAGAAACATCAACGGAAAAGGAAAGCAGAAACACAAAGCTGAACAGGACACAGCTGATAAAGTTACAGATGATGCACTGATGTCAGACGCCTGTCTAATTACATATGACTGGTACAGATGTGTTCATGAACATAGAACACCTGGCTGGCTGATGTTAAGTGTGATATGAGAACTGATACAATTGGAGTTTGGGGTTTGTGTGGTGTTATTTGTGGTACCACATGACCTTGAGTGGTCTACTGGAAGCCCTGAGCATTACATCAAATGTGCTTTAACCCTTGTGTGGTGTTCAGGTCTGTGGGACCCATTTTCAATGTTTACCATAAGAAAAAAATGATGTGATTTATTATTATTTCAACCTCAGATTCCTTGATCTTTGCTCATTTTCTGTGAAGAACATATAAAATAACCCATTTTCAGCGTCTTCACTCTGTTCACCCCCCACACATTTATATTACTGGGTGAACCTGCAGGGAGTAAAAGTGTGGAGGTGCTGTGTCCTTCACTCTGTTCTCCTCCTACGTGGCCTGCTGTTAGTGTGTGTGTGTCTGTGTGTGTATGTGTTTGTATGTGTGTGTGTGTGTGTCTGTGTATGTGTTTGTATATGTGTGTGTGTATATGTGTGTATATGGACAGGCTGCTGACTGGCTATAGCTGCTAAAGGAGAACCCTACAGTGGACACTTGTGATTTTTTAAACATCTGGTGTTTTTACTTAAATTCTTATGGCTGTATTGATTTAAAATACACAATCATGAGGTGGGTCCACCTTTCTGTCAAAAGAAGTAGCATCTTTTTGCATTACAGACAGTGTGGTAAAGTGGGTTTTGTACTGAACATTCACTGGACGTCTCAATTTCTCATAAAATAAACTTGCAAAAACAAACACGATCCTGAAAGACAGAGAACAAACTATAACCACATATCATTAAGTCATTAAGGAACATATTTCCCATGTATTTAGCTAGAAGAAGGCAAAATCACATCAAATCACTGTGTCATGGGGCTTCCCTTAACTGGGACCTGTAGCAGGCTTAAATGAAGCTATTCTCGTAAAGTAGAACTCCACCAATTGTTCTAAAATTCTACATAAATTGTTGAGATGTATACAAAGTCATTCAGAGTGGTTTGGTGTGAAAAACGTCCTTCTAGAGAAACTTACAGAGTCAGAATTGTTCACAGTGGTGGTGATAGGAACCAGACGTTCACCTCTAACAGCTCCCTCAAAGAAAGGTATTACATGAAATGGTTATAAATATGATGCCTGATGCCTGATGTGATGGAATAGTTCTGTGATAAAGTTCAGTTTAAAATGTGTTCGAATCCATTTATGGCGGAGAGATACATGCAGGGCGTTGTGTGGCAAAATAGTACCCAAAGAAAACTTATTATTTTTGGATTTATGCCTATTTTACCATGTTCAACATTACATATAAAAACGCAGAAGATACTTGTAGGTTCACTGATGGTTTTGGATAGTAAATAAATGTGTTGAAGACATGGCAACCCCTGGTTCCTATCACCACCACTGTAAAGAAATCAGAGTCTGTAAGTTTCTCTGCAATGAACCACTACACATCAAACTACCACACAATTCTGTTAACATTTCAAGGACTGAATTGTTCAGAAATTTTGGAAAAATGGTGGAATTCCCCTTTAAGTCATTTTACAAGTTTTAGCTAAAAACGTGGGAAATAAAACTTGGGATGTCTGTGTTATGCGCTCTGTAGGCAGCTCCTTCATGACCAAAATGGCAGTGATCTGTGTTTTCAAATCATTATATTCACCGAAAAAAAACAACAGACATTTCTGAAAAATATTCGATTGGAGTTTGTTAACTGTTTACTTATAAAGCCATGAAAATCTCATATTTAGCAGTTTAGTTTTTCTACCATCACAGCAGAAACAACAATGAGCTCTTACTCAGTCGTTAGCAACCGGTGCTCAGTGTAATGATACATCTGTGTGAAAAAACTGTGCTGTTATTTGTGAAGTCAAACGCAGTGGCCAGTGAGTGGAAGTACAAGGTAGGTGTTTCTAATAAAGTGGCCAGTGAGTGGAAGTACAAGGTAGATGTTTCTAATAAAGTGGCCAGTGAGGGGAAGTACAAGGTAGGTGTTTCTAATAAAGTGGCCAGTGAGTGGAAGTACAAGGTAGGTGTTTCTAATAAAGTGGCCAGTGAGTGGAAGTACAAGGTGGGTGTTTCTAATAAAGTGGCCAGTGAGTGGAAGTACAAGGTAGGTGTTTCTAATAAAGTGGCCAGTGAGTGGAAGTACAAGGTAGGTGTTTCTAATAAAGTGGCCAGTGAGTGGGAAGTACAAGGTAGGTGTTTCTAATAAAGTGGCCAGTGAGTGGAAGTACAAGGTAGGTGTTTCTAATAAAGTGGCCAGTGAGTGGAAGTACAAGGTAGGGTGTTTCTAATAAAGTGGGCAGTGAATGGAAGTACAAGGTGGGTGTTTCTAATAAAGTGGCCAGTGAGGGGAAGTACAAGGTAGGTGTTTCTAATAAAGTGGGCAGTGAGTGGAAGTACAAGGTAGGTGTTTCTAATAAAGTGGCCAGTGAGTGGAAGTACAAGGTAGGTGTTTCTAATAAAGTGGGCAGTGAGTGGACGTACAAGGTAGGTGTTTCTAATAAAGTGGCCAGTGAGGGGAAGTACAAGGTAGGTGTTTCTAATAAAGTGGCCAGTGAGTGGAAGTACAAGGCATGTTCATCATATTACTGCAATATTTGAAGTTAACATGTATTTAAAAGGGTGCTGTTCATTTCTTGACAGGACTGTGGAAAATGTATGATTAATGGGGGAAAACTTCTGATATGTTCTCAGGATGTGTGATCACATGACAAACTGGACTTTGAGGCACAATCTGACTAATGTGCCAACACAACCATCCCATTCCACACCTATACAACCCAACTAGAATAACACAGGAATCACAGACCTTTTTATATTGTCATTTCAAATATATAATAATCTACTAATAATCATGGGCAAATAATTTTTAATGTTATAAGCATGTACTATTTAATATTGAAACGTGAACAGCTTATGCCTGCATTCACAAGACGACAAGATGTTTTATAAAGTAAATAGCATTGTAGATGCTAAAGTGAAGTCCCTATGTGGGCATCTTTCAAATAAAATGTAACTGAATAATGTTTAACTGGTACTTCACAGTAATCCTGAATCAGAGTAGATCACATGTACATTCACTGGCCACTGTATTTGAAACCCCTACCTTTGATCTGCTGGTGTACAGTTAGAGACTGTAGCTCATCTGCATACTTTCAGTGGTCAGTGGTCAGTTTTTGACGGTATTTGACTGGATTTGAGTTGCTCTTGACCGGATAGTTTTGAGCGGATGACTCTCAACCTAGCAGTGACACTGAAACCCCCCAGAAACACATTTGTTTCTAATAAAGTGACCAGTGAGTGGAAGTACAAGGTAGGTGTTTCTAATAAAGTGGCCAGTGAGTGGACGTGCAAGGCGGGTGTGTCTAGTAAAGTGGCCAGTGAGTGGAAGTACAAGGTGGGTGTTTCTAATAAAGTGGCCAGTGAGTGGAAGTACAAGGTGGGTGTTTCTAATAAAGTGGCCAGTGAGTGGAAGTACAAGGTGGCTGTTTCTAATAAAGTGGCCAGTGAGTGGAAGTACAAGGTGGCTGTTTCTAATAAAGTGGCCAGCGAATGAAAGCACAAGGTAGATGTTTCTAATAACAGTATCAGAGGGACGCCCTTAAAGAAAACCTACACACATCATAGCTTCAGAACTGCAAAAAGAACATCTGGCTGGTGTAAATAAAGAGCAAAAAACGAGAAAGAAATAGAAAAAAAGCAAAATGAATAGGGGGAGGGATACAAAGCAGTCTGAGATAATACCTAATATAGGGTCCTTCAGAGTTTTTATTGACATCTTCGACCCATTTAGTTACATAATACTCTGTTTTGAAGCAAGGGGTTAAATACCTGCAGGAGGAGGTGGGGGAGGAGCGATGGTGAACACAGAAGGAAAGAGAGGAGGTGAGAAAGAGTGGAAGAGGAGGAACAGGTGAAGAGAAAGAGAGAAAGAAGGAGTTGGTAAAAGACAGCAGAGCACAGCACCCACATTCCCTACGGCCCACCAAGATGCAAGTGAGAGAAGGACAGAATGATGTTTTGGACGTAATACATAGCTTACAGACGTTACAGCAACCAATTATATGACTGTTGTTACACCTTTATTAAAACCGCAGAGAATAATTGCTGGAGAACTTTAACTGAAATTAAGAGTTAGAAGTTGTAACCAGTGGCGTAGCCAGAATTATAAACAATAAGTGGTCTTATTATATCAGGAACTAACAGAAACACTTAATGGTTTTAATGTTGTTATAACAACACATTTACCTCTAAAATGAAGTCCGCAAAACACTTAATACACTTTTCACACTAGTGTGATGAGATGCTCCTATATTAGTGCTGAAAACAGTAGCTGGGTGTGTGAGAGTGTGTTAGCATTTCCACCATTATGGAGTCTTGGTGCTGCTATATGAAGGGCCGCCCATTCAATGGTCAGCGCAGCCAAAGCAGTAGTGCTAAGTCCGCGTGTCAAAGTTCACCAATGTTCAATGCAAAATGTACTCTTTGTGAATGATCCGCTGCAATTAATGTAATTTAATTTAATTCAATCAGATTTAATTAATAATTTAGTTATTAGAACATCACATAACTTGACAGCCTTACCAGAAAACTGGCTACACCACTGTTTATAGGCGAAGTTATAACAATTACCAAGAACGTAATCCCTTAAAATGTTCAACGAAAAGCAAAAAGAACAATCTGTTACATTAACTGACATGATGTCTTGTCCGATGGTGCTAATCATCCGTACTTTATCACACTTAAGTCCTGCAGTCAAAAGACAATTTGATTCTACAGGAGCTAAAAGCCAAACCCTTACAATATGTGTGTGTATCTGTCAGTTGAATGTGGAGGTCAATTGCATTTTGGTTTCGGTGGCATTTCCTTCAGAGCAGTCCTTCCCTGTTATTTCATTACATGCATTCGATAGGACACAGAAAAAGAAGGAAGGATAGAGTTCACGGTGTCGGAGCAGACTCCGAGCTGCATTCCTATCACATGCATGTCACTTTAAAGCGTGCTTCTCGCTCCGAAGACTGAAGCCAGTTTCTCGAGTCGCTTGAGTCAGCATTTCACCACATGCAAATAAACCCAGTGAGACTTTCGAGGTAACTAGGATTTGATCTAAACGTCATCTCAGAGTACATGCAAAACCAGACACCCAGCGTTTCTCTCTGCCGGAGAGAAATGCTGTCAGTGGTCACAGCTGTTGGATCAATATGGATGCGGACTGAAGTTCCTGTGACAGGAACTCGTAACTTACTCTGTGGAGTTGGAACGAGGACGGAACTTCTTCCCTTTCAGCTTCTTACGGTTGCCGCTAATGTTCCCTACAGAAGAAAACGGGACAGTATGTTTACAGATAGTGGCGTACGGTTTACTATCACTTATTATAGGAATCATTTGTATACATTTATATAGAATTATGACTTAAACAATGTACATTTAAATGAATTAGACATCAAAGAGATGCTTCATTCCACCGCCATATGCAAGTGAAAGTAGGTTATTACATCCTCTCAGTTTTTAATGTACAATTTCTATTTATTTACCGAGTTAAGCAAAAATGAACTAAATTAAAGTTAAATGAAAAATGTAATAAATTAAATAAAAATGATAAAATGTAACGTCCTGTACAAGATGATTAACTTATTTTTGCTTAGAAAATCAACAAAACGTCATTTGACCAGTGGCTCCTAAAATGTCTTCGTACAACAGTATATTTTACATATTTTAGGAACAACATGAGCTTATTAAATGATAAATGACACTAATTTTTCAAAAGAATTCCACGTTTTACAATCATTTTTTGCCAAGTTATCCATCACCACTTTAAATCTGAGACATTCTGTGTGTATATATATATATATATATCTTGCTGCTGTCTAAAGAAAACCTTGTATCTCCATTTTTGTCGTTTTTCAGTTTTAGACATAATTTGAAAATGCCTATTGCCCTTTACATTGTGTGTAAATTTCATGATGAATGGACCAAAAGAAACGACCCAAAATGATGTGGAAGTCTATATATATGTATATATATATTTAGGTTCCAAACTGAACAGTAGTGTACTGTTTCAGAGGGGTACCTTGCCACGAGTTGCTCCTGGGCCGTCCGTTTTCACAGATATCAGAAATGTGTTTGGCATCTGGAATTCTCTCACTCCAGGAATGGGACAAACCATTAGACCTTCAGACCAAAGCCACAAATCCAAAGACACAGTAATAAATTATTACTTGAGCATTAGCAGCAAGACCAGACCAAAGTCTGTCAGCCTTATAAAAGGAACAGTTTGACAAAAAATCAAATGTACATAAAACTTTCCCCTACTGTAAATGCTATCAATCAGCCAAGACTTTTATGTCTGACATCTGCTTTTTTAGCTTTGCACTGGAGCTACAAGGCTAATGTAGCTAACGAAGGATTGAATACGCCACCAATTAGCATTGTGCAAACTGTATGACTAAATGTGCCTCAAACAGCCTTGAGCTATTAAGTTATCTCAAACAGACCTGTTTATTTGTTTTCTGACACTGTATGACATCCTGTTACAAAAGTATGTCATATAGCTAAAAACCAGGCCATTTGTAAGCCATTTTTATAGATTACAGTAGGGATGCACTGAAATTTCAGCGAAGAATGGTCAAAAGTGGTTCTTTCAGTTTCGTCCAAAAGAGAAAAAAAGAATTTAGGACAAAAAAACAACAAATGATTAAATACGACTTTAGCAAAGTGTCGAAATGTAACATTCTACAAATCATTTTAATGGTAATGAAAACGAGAAACGGTTAATAAAAAAACGCTGTTCGTTCCTTCGCTCTCTTTGTTGGTCAGCGCAGGCGCGTTCGAACAGTTTGAGCAGCCACAGATCAACAGTGAAAAAAAGAAAATAGAACAATTTCATGGTTTCTACAAGGGCAATGTTTCTATATTAGGAAAGTGATTTGATCCCAAACATCAAGAGGAGGTACAACACTCAAGAAGTTCTCCACTGCAGTTTTTTGGATGCGTATTTCCCCTGTTACCTTGTTTATGTTTTGTATGTTTCTTCAAAACCATACATAACAGCCAATGGTTTCAGTTTTTGGTTTCGGCTGTCGGTGTCTTAAATATCTGAATTCGGCAAGGAATTTTCATTTCGGTGCATCACTAGATAGCAGTACATCATATAGTGTCCGAAACCATATACAAGTCTATTTGAGACTTAGACTCCACAATCTGGACCAAAAAGATCGAGAATTTGATCCCCAGTGATGCCATAGTCATCTGTGTCTGGGAGTCCATGAGAGCATAACTGGCCCCGCTCGTTCTGGGTGGGTAGGATGGTCCTCCCTTTCCCACCATCACTTGGCAGAACGCTAGCCAGTGCAGGCATCTGATAGCTGATGTAACAGAATTGACAGTGTTCTCCTCTAAGCGTGTTGAGCTGTACAATGATATTGTATTAGCAGCAGCTTAAACAGATGCAGTGGCGCTTTACATGACTCAAAGGCAGCTTGTGCTAGCCGGCACTGGTAGTATAGTGTGACTGGGGGAGATCTTGTTAGTGTGTGGAATCTGACACACCTAAATTGGGGAGAAATTTGACAAAAAGGTAAAAAATAATGTCACATGGCTAAAACAGAAGTACATAGTTCATACGTTTGTCTACTTTTCAGCTCCACGTCAGACACCAAACATGTTTGGTGAACCAGATTGACTATATTTGATGAAAAGTAATGTGCATTTGATTTTTTGTCAGTCTATCACTTCAAGACACAAACACATCAGAATGACAAGTGATGTGAATGACGTGAATGACATGAACGACGTGAATGACACAAATGACACGAATGACAGATGTCACACCACTGAAAAGCAGGATGGAAAGAGTAGATGAACCCATTACCACATGAAGAGCAAACTGGCATGACTGAAAGCCTCGTCCAGGTCGAGATAAAATCATGATTGCTTACTCACAGACGTCACACTGTTACTCGGCTGATACCATAACCTGCTGTGTTTACTCTCACAGCGAGAGAGAGAGAGGAGAGGGTTATCACAATTCTAGCAGGAAACAGAAACTAGCAGCAGGGGACAGAGAGTCAGAGCAGCAGAGGAATCCCTCTTTCATAAGACTTTATAGGGCCTTCGTTAGACCTTTATTTATTTCCCATAATTGAAGACCTCAAATGATCAAACTTTGTGCTGTCTTTTCTAAAATGATGTGCACAATTCACAGTGTTTTCACTGTCTGCTGTCTACAGTCCTGTCAGTACAGCACCTTAATACCTTCTTAATTCATCTATGGAGGGGCGCTGCACTGTGTTACATTCTCTAAATACACCCGATTCAACTCGTCAGCAGTTGAGTCAGTGAGTGTGTTTACATGCACTCAATAATCCAATCATAATCAGATTTCTGCAGTTATCTGAATATCCAAACGGTCATGTAAACAGCGTACCCCGATTTCTTATATCAGAGTAATGTCTTGAAATCTGATTAAGAAATCCAATAAAGAGAGCTGGATTTCAGCTCAGTAATCAGATTTCTCAGTGCATGTGAACTCTTACTCTGATTTCTTTCGGATTTCTCAGTCTGCGCATGTGCGAAAACAGACGGCGGTACCAGAAATAAGCGAGCAGTGTTGCCACAAGACGCAGCAACACACTTTTGTAGCGACGCTGAAACCAAATACATTCATACATACTTCACGCAAGTTCATATTTTCAGGTAAAGTGATGCAATGTTTTTAAAAAAAACGCTGGGGCATCAAGTTTGAGTTATATGTTATGTTTTCATCACGTCTTCTTCTGTGAGTTTATTGGCTGGTTGCAAAGCAGAAATCTGATTACTGTCTGACTCATGTAGACCTAGAGTTTTCCCATTTTCTGATTACTCAAGTGCATGTAAATGCGTTAATCAGATTACTGACAAAATCTGATTTTCTGCAGTTATCGGATTATTAAGTGCATGTAAACAAGAAAACGGCAACAATGTTCTCAGTAACAAGGAATTTTGGGGTGCTTTGCTGGCTGATGTAACAGTGACCACAAGTGGTCTATATTATACAGTAATGTTTAACAGGCTACTTTGCGTATTACTGACAATTGAATGCTAATGAAGCTGAAACTCAGTCAGGAACTCTGTCAGAAAACAAAGTTGTGCTTCCTGGACTCCAGATGGACTACTTCTTGATTTCCTGCAAAAATCCAAATCCAAATAACTCTACTAAATGAATAAACATAAAAAACTTCATCTTTTAGCCTTTTCTCTTCATATTTTCTGCTTTTCCACTTCAGATGTATCCATTCTTTTTGAGACTGTCACTTTTTTTCCTCACTCCAGCACTTTAGACTACATAACGTTATAGAAATGACCTAAAAGATGTTAGAAAGTCCCCTGGTGGCTGCACTACCCTGAACAGCTGCTTATGCTGCTTATTAGGTAGAACTGGCACTGGCCGTGTGCCTGCACATCTATAGCCCAGTCCCAAATGGCGCATTCACAGAGGACTTAGCCAGTCTTGTTGCTGAAAATTCAGGCAAGATACAGGCAAGGATCAGAGGAAGATGTTCAGATGTAAGGAAAAATGTATTTGTTTATTATTTAACGTATTATATTAACTTGTAATCTGGATTGAGCCACTGTATGTAAGCAAAGTAGCTCATTAAAAATAACAAAAACAAAGTACAATCGATATGCTGCATGCGGCACATGCAGAAATGCATACTTTTAAACCAAACACCCTCGAGGTCTACAGATCTAAACGTCATTGATGTTATTAAAGCGTGGATTTTGAGAAAGTACGCAGGGCTTAGAGTGTCATTTAGAACTGGGCTTCTTTGTTCCTGTCTCTTTACTAGGAGCACAGCCTGGAGAAGCGTGATCAGTCCCAGCAGAGGGCGCTACATTACAGAAAAAAGGAGGATCAGCATGGGGTTGTTTGGCTGCTTAGTGTCGTGCTTTTTGCCATCTGCCAGGCTTGTGCTGAGCTGTAGTCAGATGCTATTTGTCCATAACAGAAAATAACCTTTGTGTATCTGTATACTGGACAGTGAACGTGTACGAGTGGGAGCATGTAGCTCTGTTCATCCCTCATTTCTTTCTGTTTATGTGTAGGATGTTTTAAGATGGTCAGGTTCTCCTTTCCGGTTAGATTAGCAGTCTTTTAGTTTTGAGAAAAATGTCGTTATACAAGTGTTAGCATTTAATTTCTTTTCTTCTAGACTTACGTTCTTCTCTTCGACACCTGACACCTACACATTAGTTTGATTTTTCACTTTTAAAAACAATCCAGACTACATGAATACATATTTATGGGGGCAGTCGTGGGCTGGAGGTTAGGGACTCAGCCTTGCGAGCGGAAGGTCGCCAGTTCGACCCCCTGAGCTGATAGTACGTGACTGAGGTGCCCCTGAGCGAGGCGCCTAACCTCCAACTGCTCCCCGGGCACTGCGGATAGGGCTGCCCACCACTCCGGGCAAGTGTGCTCACTGCCCCCTACTGTGTGTCTTCACTAGTGTGTATGTGGTGTTTCACGGATGGGTTAAATGCGGAGGTGAAATTTCCCCATTGTGGGACTGATAAGGGTCACTTCGTATTCATCTGTTATACATACAGCCATATGCAAAGGTTTGAGTGCCCCTGGTCACATTACATTTTGTTGATTTTTTTAAAAGTGAAAACAAACAAATATTGATGAACAATTACTTTTGTGTTTATTTTCTGAATTTACATATTGTGACCATTTTAAATTTTGTGTTAATTTTTTCCACTATGTTAAAAGCCACAAGTAAATAAAAATTGTGCACTAAAATTTGCAAAAAAATGACATATTGTTCTCTGTAGAGGCAGTAATAACTTCTTTTTACTTAGAAAGTCAACAAAACATGTAAACTGACCAGGGGTGTTCCAACTTAAACTAAAAAAAAAAACATAAAAAGTAAATAAATAAAAATAATATAATAACCTAATTTGTCCTCCATGATTACTTTGTGGGACATTGATTTGTTTCTGATGCTTGACGTGGGACGTGGACATCCCTGTACCTGGTGGTTCGACAGCTGGGGGGCTTTACGTACAGCCTCATTTTTACCCTATGAATAATAAGAACATGAATGGCTTGATCATTACTTTATGATTTGAATTGCTGTGCTGGAACAGGGAAGCTGCAAAAATGTGTGACTGGAAAAGACTGCAGTGACTGTGCAGCGCTGCTTTTGACAAACTGTACTGTTCACTTTTAGACGTAGGCTTTTAAACAGAGGGTTGTGTGCTGCTCTTGACTGAGGATGAAGATGAGGATGAAGGTGGACACAGGTGCACACCTGAAGCCGAACAGTGAGATGTTTTGGCTGATGGAGGGGATGGAGGTGTAGATCTGCAGGTGGGACAGGTAAGCAGACCTCTTCTTGGAGCTGCTGCCTGAGTTGGAGCTCACGCCCTGCGGAACGTCGCTGTAGAACGAGTCGGCATCGCCCGGTTTCTTCACGTAGTCGCCCGCCGGCATTTGCCTGGAGAATATGAGCAACAAAGTTAGTCAGTCAGAGTTTATCAAACATGTTTGATTTTTTCGACCTGACTCGAAATCTAGAATAAACTGATCAGTGACTTTATTAACAGAGTCCTTCAACAGCCAATGAAGACTGAGAGCGCAAAAGAAGAAAATACAGCAAGTAAACAAAGAAAAATGGCAAAAAGTCTCTCACATGTGGAGCGAAGCTTTTTAATGAGCTGAGTTTAAGGCACTCTAAAACTCTAAAAATACCAAACTGGTCACATTTTTAAATCCATGATCCTCTTTAACATGTTTATCTACTGCTTCTTTACTGCGTCAGTGAAAACGACAGAGAAAACAGCAGCAGCATCTCTGTCTTTGTTTATTTGGGTCTCCTGGTAACGGGAGAATGAATGAGTTTGTGTGACTTTAGTTTGCTCCGTTCGGTTCAGCAGCAGCTTAAAAGTTGAGTAGTGTTTGATCACTAATCGTTTATTGTGGCTCCCCAATATTTCAGTCGCCCCCCAAAAAAAACAGCCAGACTGTGAAATACAGTCTTTTATAATCTGTTCAGACTTTAAAAGTCACGTAGTGAACCCAACGCTTTAGTGATTCTCAAGCCTGGACCTGGAGTACTCCACATTTTAGTGTTTACCTTTAGTGTGTAACACACAACCTGAACTCAGGAGAAGCTTGTTAATGAGCTGATTCGTTCATGTATTCTACATTAAATACATGTTGGGCCAAGGCTGTGAACCACTATAGTAGATGTTTCATAACAAACATAGGCATAAGCAACGCACAAGAGAGGTAAAAGAAAAAGTACAACTTACCGGCAGAACCTTCGATGCACTTCAGACTCTGCATACTGCCGCTGTCGGTAGCTCCTGCATAAGGGAAAAAAAAGACAGTGAAAACAGGGCATTCAAGAGTTTATCACTTCAGTATCTGGTCTACTAACGTTGTGTGATTTACTACATCGGTGCAACAGGCCTTTAAGCCCTACAAAAGGATCGAAGCGGTGACTGCTGCTATTTCATGCTTGTGCCTCATTGCCTACACCAGGAGCGGGCAACAGGTGGCTTTTACTGCCCTGTTGCAGCTCCACAGCAGAATTGTACTTTTAGTTAAAAATAAAATAATCCTGTTTTGCCGTAAAATAAAGCTCTGCTGATCGTTCAACACAGTTTAACAATAAATGGTCTTAAACACTGGAGTTAATGTAGAACTGCTAATTGACCCTTGAACCCTGAAGGTTGGCGCACAGACTGCTGGTCACCGCAGAAAAGAATCTCACCTATCTAGTAGCTAACGAAACAGAAAAGAGAACGATTTAAGACGAACATTGATCATTTGGAGCTGAACGGATTTGTTTATAATCACTCCAGCTGGTTTCCTCATATGTTTAATCTGCAACGAGAAACTGTCAAACACTGAAGTCGTGAAGCTGAAGTCGCTTCTCACTCACCGACTTCTTGTTTGAATTTTGCCATTCCACCTTAATTGGTGCAGCAGTTACATTCTAGTGCCACTTAAGGTGGAATGAGAAAATTCAAACAAGAAGCAGCCTCGAAAAAAAGTTGAACGTTGAGAGACATTTTACAAGAAACTATTCTATTTTTGTGGAAAAGTTTCCTGCCGGAGATGCGAGAAAAGCGGCTACAGCTGAGCTAAAGCTTAAAGCAGAGCAAAGTAAGACTGCATGAGACAGATTTACAGCCAAGGTAGTAAAATGGACGTAAGATGTTGTGGCTCTCAAAGTGGTTTGATTTTTACTGAAAGGAGAAAATGGCTCTCCTTAACTCCTAAAATTTGGGTTGCCAACCTCTGGCCTACACACTTAAAAAGGATGGTTCTTCTAGGGTTCTTCAGTAAAGGCAATGGTTCTATATAGAACCATGAGTTCTATATAGGACCATTTGCATGCATAAATAGTTCTTTGCATGGTGAAATGGTTCTTCAGACTGATGGAGAATGTGTTGTTCCATATAGAACCTTTTTTGGTTCTGAACAACACCGAAAAACTTTTCGCTATTATTACAATGGCAAGCTTTTTGGTGCTATATAGAACCCCATACAACACATTCTCCTTCAATCTAAAGAACCATTTCACCATGCAAAGAATCATTTAAGCATGCAAATGGTTCTACACAGAACCCATGGTTCTAAACAGATCCATTGCCTTTACTAAAGAACCCTTGAAGACCCTTTTAAGTGTGTATGCAATGCCTTTATAAGCGCAAAATACTGGAGGAGATTATAATTATATTATAATGAACTACACAGTTTACAAAGGCTGACAGTAATTACTGACTGATTATGATTATGTGCTCGATTTAATGCCTTAAAAAGCTTGTCTCATTTCTGGAGCTTAACACGGCTGCCATTGTTAGTGCTCAGAGATGCGCTTCTAATGGAAAGCCATTTCCGCAAGGTGGGAAAAAAGTCACCTGTCATTCACAGAAGTATTCAAATTATGATCTCTCAAAAAATGTTGAATTAACTAACATTATTTTGACATAAAAGTCAAAATCTTAAGAAAATAGTCATTATTTCAACATAAGTCATAAGGCAAATATTATTTTAAGTTCTATCATGTCAGTTTAACTGAGTCATTATTTTGACTTAGTAAGTCAAAACATCAAGAAAGTGAGTGATTATTTCAACGAAAGCCATTATTTCAACTAGTTAAGTCTCAAGAAAGAGTCATTATTTTGACATAAGCCAATGTTTTGTCTTACTAAGTCAAATTATCAGTAAAACAAGTCATTACTTTGAGATGAAAAGTCAAACTTACAACATATAAGGTACAAATATGGACACACTGCTGCTAGAAAAGGGGAAAAACTATTGTGAACATAACTTTTTGTGTAACTGGTGGAAACAGACTTCTATACAAAAAGCACACGAGCAAAACAGGGTTACATTGTTATCGTTGGTCTCATGTTAATAACAAAGCATGTGTTCATTTGCATGAAAGTTCTTAGAAGATAACTTGTTAAACTGATTGCCTCCATCTGTGCAAACTGTCTGTAGACTGTCAGTGATTATTGCCCCTGGGTGGGGTATTACTAGCTACATACACCTGCAGAGTCTGCCCTGCAGAATTATTGGCACCCTTGACATTGATGGGCAAAATGTGACGTGTTTTTGATCATTTTTCTAATAGTTTTCTTTTAAAATTATTTAACAGAACAGAATAAGCTGAATTTCTCAGCTTTACCAACAGTTCTTTTTTCAAGTATTTGTATCTGTGTGTGCCGGCGTGTCTCTCTCACTTGTAGCCCCATGCGGAGATGGCCAGTATGAGGGCCAGGACGAGAATAGATCCAGCGATAGCTCCGATGATGATGTTGGTACTGATGATGCCTGCCAGGAAAAAGAGGCCACGTTTACTCCAGAGACAAGACAGCAACGGACACGGACACACACTCCTCAAGACAAACGAGGGCTACTGCTAAAGTTAGCAATCATAGATGAATTAAGTGTTTTTAAAAACAACAACTCACACATCTGATAGAACTAACCGCAGGGTTGGTCAACTGTTAGACAGGACAACAACGCTGACTTTACCAAGAAGAGTGCCATTTTAAACACCTTCACCAACCTCAATGAAGACCGGGCAGAAAAACAACCCAACAACTGGAATTATTGTCATTCACAGAAAGTAAAACATCACTGGATGTTTCATATCGAGCGGATCCGAGGAGATTGGAAGACAGAGAAACACCCTGAAAAACTCTAAAAACTCCATTCGAGTTCCATTTAACCAGAAAGCTAACGTTGCTAATAAGGCAATGTAAGCTGATAGCAAACATGCTAATAAAGTCATACTAACTGATTCCAGCAAGTTTTCACTGACTGTTAGCCTCACTGGCACTTCTGAAACATTCCTGTAACATTTTTTCATTAAGCTGCCTAAAAAAAAACATTTTTCAGAGATTACAGTATAGTCATACACAAAAGTTTTGGCACCCCTGGTCAAATGACGTTGATTTTCTAACACATTCTTTACAAAGAACACAACTCTGCACATTTAAATGCAAAAGTACTGTTTATTTGCTAAATTTTACATATTGGGGAAAGAAAATAAAATGTGGTCTGTGCAGAAGTTATGGCACATTATATGTTAAGCAAATAAATAGAAATTTTGAACTGAAATTGTATAAAAATGCCATATTTAAGTCCCCTATAGAAGAAGTGTTAACTTTCATTCAGAAAATAAAAAAATGTGGAATTCCATATCCCATATCCCAATCCCTATATATAATGACTAATTTTCACAAAATACTGACTTAATATCTAATTAACATAGATATTATGTTATTTAGATTGACATAGTATTGACATAGTACGTCAATATTTCGAGAGAACAGGTCTTTGTCTTGACATAGTAAGTCAGTATTTTGAGAAAAAACGGTCAATTTTTTGACAAAGCAAGACATTACAAGTCATGAATTCATTATTTTGACATAATAAGTCTATTTTTTTGACAATAAGTAATTTTTTCAACAGTGAGTCATTATCATGAGATACCAAGCCATTATTTTTGAGATGATAAGTCAACATTTTGAGAAAACAACACTGAGTCAAAAAATGAGAAAATGAGAATGAGAAAAAACATCTTGGGTGACATTTTTCTCCTCTAGCTGGGCAGGAATGGGCTTCCAAAAATAAAAGCGAACAAAGAGCACATTTGCTACAACTACTTCCAACAACATTCCAGATGTGCTGTCCAAAGTCTAAAATCTGATAAGAATAAATTTTGAGTAGCCGGGCTTTATTTGATTTGCCCTGGATTACAATAATATTGGTGCATTTGGTATATATTATACATTAAATACTGACCCCAACAGAATTATTGCAAACAAATGCAAAGTAATGCAAAATGACAACATAGGTTTAACTGCACTTAATTAATAAAAATAACTACATACATAAATACATCAAATATAAAGAAAGAAAGAAAGTTAGGGAAAAAAAAACTGGGAAAAGACCAGACACAACACCGCACTCAATAACACCACCAACATTACACAGAGTCACCTCAAACAGAGTGCAAAGAGTTAGAATGGAGAAACCAGCAATGGAGAAAAGGAAGGAGTGTATTCATGGGGTAAAAAACACAGACAAAGAAAAAAGGGGGGAAAAAGACAAACACCCAACGAAGAAGAACTCAAATCTGACCTCACTGAAACTCCAGCAAAAGACATGAGCCTGTCGACAAAGAATGAGTGCGTGAAAACGAAAGCTATGAAAAGAAACAGAAAGAAAAAGGAAAACAATTTCGACCGTGTGGAAATGCGCATGACTGGCCAACATGAATATGACAACAGAAATCAAAAGTAACAACAGACAGATGAGAAAATGCTCTGTGGAGCCTAAATACACATACTGATGCATATAGGATGTGTTCTCTTCATTGTGCTTTAGTTAAGCACTGTAGTGGTGCACTGTGTTCCAATACCTAACCCCTCTATTCAGTCAAGTCCATAAATGTGTGGACGTCAACAAAGTTATTGTTATTTGAGCTGTTTATCTATATTTACTATACTTGAATTAAATACTAAATATACACCAATCAGGCGTAACATTATGACCACCTCCTTGTTTCTATACTCATTGTCCATTTTATCAGCTCCACTTACTATATAGGTGCACTTTGTAGTTCTACAGTTACAGACTGTAGTCCATCTGTTTCTCTGCATACTTTGTTAGCCCCCTTTTACCCTGTTCTTCAGTGGTCAGGACCCCCATGGACCCTCACAGAGCAGGTACTGTTTGGGTGGTGGATCATTCTCAGCACTGCAGTAACACTGACATAGTAGTGGTGTGTTAGTGTGTGTTGTGCTGGTACGAGTGGATCAGACACAGCAGTGCTGCTGGAGTTTTTAAACACCTCAGTATCACTGCTGGACTGAGAATCGTCCACCACCCAAAAATATCCAGCCAACAGCGTCCTGTGGGCAGCGTTCTGTGACCACTGATGAAGGACTAGAGGATGACCAACACAAACTGTGCAGCAGCAGATGAGCTGTCGTCTCTGACTTTACATCTACAAGGTGGACTGACAAGGTAGGAGTGTCTAATAGAGTGGACAGTGAGTGGACACAGCGTTTAAAAACTCCAGCAGCACTGCTGTGTCTGATCCACTCGTACCAGCACAACACACACTAACACACCACTACTATGTCAGTGTTACTGCAGTGCTGAGAATGATCCACCACCCAAACAGTACCTGCTCTGTGAGGGTCCATGGGGGTCCTGACCACTGAAGAACAGGGTAAAAGGGGGCTAACAAAGTATGCAGAGAAACAGATGGACTACAGTCTGTAACTGTAGAACTACAAAGTGCACCTATATAGTAAGTGGAGCTGATAAAATGGACAATGTGTGCAGCTATGCGCTCATAAGCTACTTTGTTTAAAACAGTAATATACCTGCTCTGCACTTTTAGGGCAATTTACTTTTAAGGCGATTCACTGATCTGTCAAGCTCTAGCTAAATATCTCCAGCCGCACAGTGAGCAGAGAAAGGTAGTGAGATGTGGGATGGGGGGTTTTACCTGAGGACGTGGCTGTGGGTCCCACCACCAGGTAGCTGAGAGGAGATGTGGAGTTACAGTCTTCACCCGCCCAGCCCAGGTGACACACACACTTCAGCTCATTACTGCATACCTGCAATGTGCCACACGCAAACCGACGTAGAGGCACACGTTTAAATTCATTAGTGCAACAAACAGGAAATGGAGGACTGCACATTATCACACATGAAAAGTCATGAGCAGTGAAAAAGGTGAGATAAGAAATCAATCCCTTGTAAGAGAGTATGGCAGCATCACTCCTAGGACAAAAGTGTAATGATTTTAACATAAAATTCTTACTGAGGTAAATACAGTGTGTATATATATACACACATATTCATTTGTTAAAAATCTGTGGCTAACCATAGCAACGGAAGGGCAAAAGGTCAGGGTGTACGACATCCCACACCCATTATAAATAAAAGACATTCTAAAAACCCATCATTTATGTTGGGTGCTTGGACCCCAGTGGTTGCCACTTTCAATACAGACAGTTGTTCAGCTCTCATAGTTACTACAGCCCACAGAAATTAATGGATTATCTTCCTTCTGATTGGCCAAAAAATAAATATTGTCTTGTGGGTTCCCTGAATAATGACTGTGACCTGCTGCACTGCTGAGTTTAGGGGACAGAAGGGATTCCCTTCATACAAAATGGTGAATTTCATCAAAAGGCAACGAGTTTGCAAGTATGACAAAATACTGTACTGCTAGATAATGAGACAGTGATATACAATGAATCTATATTAATTATGATTAACTGCATTTATTTGCTCAGATTCCACCTTAATGAAAGATTTTTAAAAAGCAGTGCATTTTGTTATAGCTGTTGGAGTGGACAAAATAATAACTAATTAATAACATCATTTTCATTGTGTGAACTCAGGGTTCACATAAACCACAACATGAAAGTGAAAGTAGTTCCAACACCTCAACTGTAGCCTCTCGCTCTCGTACAAACAGCTCACATATTCTTGTTACAGTGAAGCCTCTTGAGTGGGAATATTTCACTTTGCTGTTGCTTTTGTTAGCTTGCTGCTCATTGATTTATACATAGTTGTTGTGATCACTGTCCAGTATAGTCTGCTGAAGGCTTTGGTTTAACAGACATTTAAAAGTTGTATTTGAACCCGAGGGCTACAACCTATTATAGTAACATATACTGCACAAGAAGCTAGACTTTAGCCTGCACTACTGCGGATGGTTTGAAGGGCACTAGAAAAATGAGTGGCGTTAAAAACTGGATTAACACACTATTAGAACATTTGCTTTGACAGCTCTAATTAAAATACTGGTTAACCCCTGATGTGACATAGACCAACCTGCAGTATCTTGATCAAAATTATTTACATTTGCTGGATCGTGTGAACACTAGATTTGTCACAATCATGACATTTTGGCTGATTATTTTATATTGTCATATAAATAATTGTGATCAACAATTTAATCTTTACTTTTTCACTGTTTGCAACTAATAAAGTATAAGACTGATGTGGCCACATAGGCTGATTAGCCACTTTACGTGACAGCTGTGTGTTTACTTAGCCCTGACTTTACTGTGGAAAACTGTTGTGTGCACACATTGACACAAACGTCTACACAGAAATTATGGATAGATGCTCTACATCAGCAGTTTTCAATCCCCCAGTGAACCATGGTGGTACAGGGGCCGTCTGAAAACACATTAGCGCAGCAAGTTAGAAGTTAGTAGAACTTTTTGTTGTTTTCATGACTCAATGAATGCCTTCACTGCTTTTTGGCATTTATTTGTCTGAAATCAGCCAACTGACATTTTGTTTGTTGCAGCATAAGATGACTGAAATATACTGGTATACGATACTTCAAGAGATTTTTTTTAATACACAATAGGCATCACAATACATAGTTTTTCAGAGATTTAACAGACAAAATAGAGCCTCTAGTGCCACAATTGAAAATACTATAATAATAATAAACCTACAGCTACATTGATTTTTATTCAATGCTTTACAAACTGCACTGCACTAAATACAACTAAACAGGCCTAATTATGCTCAGCATGTAATGAAACATGCAGTTAGTCAGTTTTCTTTAAGTACTCACGATATCAACAATATACCCAGAAAAGCATATTGTGACAAAATTTATCATGGTAAAAATAAAATATCGTCATATTACCCACCCCTACTGTAGATAATGAGTGCAGTCAGCCCGAACAATTGCAATCATCTCAAACAGTAGCAATTAGGCGATTATGTAATAACAGGTGACAGGTTTGATAAAACACTTGGATTCATCAGAACACCCACAGAAACTCATCTGGAACTGTGATTGGTCAGGATGCCCACAGCGCATAATGACATATCTCTTGATTGGTCTGAGAAATTATTTGCATATTGCAGCCTTCCGCGATATCAGCTTTGAAAAGGCCAAATAATGATTAACAAACTATTTATATTGTGTGAAATAATGTGCAATTAGACGCACACCCTTACCCCGTGTCCAGAGCATATGACTCTGTCGTTGGTGCCGGGGCAGGTGCTGAAGTTGAACTCCTGCATTGGGAGGCATTTGTGGTTGAAGCAGATACGGTCAGTCCCGCATGCCGTGCCGTCTTCCACGTAACCCAAATCAGTGTCTCCATCTATAATCACATGCCCTCCACTGCCACACAAAGGACAGAAATAAACAATCAGTAACTGATCACTCTGGGGGACTCTTTGGTTTCTACTCTCAGGCTTGCAGTACGATATTACAGTAGCGAGCGTTTACTTCACCCATACCTGATTCAAGTCAAAATTTATTCACTAAGCCCTTCATTAGCTGAAATGGTGTACTGACAATAAATAACGAACTATGAAGTGCTCCACAGATTCAGAAACACTTCATCACTGCAAATTTGGTCTTCAGAGCATCTCAAAAGCCTTAATCTGTATGTTTATATGTGTACATATAGCTGTACGCAAAGGTCTGAACACCCCGAGTCAAATTACGTTTACCATTAACATTATATGGTATTTTTCTGCAAAGTTTAGTGCACAATTTCTATTTTAACATATTGCAAAAAATAATACCTAAAATATAGCGTGTATGATAACTTTTGCACAGGCCACATTTTATGTATTTTCGCCAATAAGTTAAATTCAGCAAATACCACTAATTGTACATTAAAACGTGCAGAACTATGTTCCCTGTAGTGGATGTGTTCTTCTTTTCACATCAACAAATAAACAAAAACGTGATTTAATCGGGGGTGCCCAAACATTTGTATATGACCGTACATGTGTTTGCATAAGAACAAGTTATTCATTTTCCAGCATCAGGAAAAAAGCGGAAAACACACATTTAACAGAAAATTAAACAGAAGCTTCAACAGTTAAACATAAGTTTAGGATTTTCAGTATTTTGTGTGTCCAACCCTTTCCTTTATTACAGCTTCCGCTCCTTTTGGGAGACTTGCTTTCAGGTGTTCAAAGGAATCTGCAGGGATGTTTTTCCACACCTCCAAAGTTCGGTCTTACAAGTTAGTTGCATTTTCAGCTGAATTTGTCCATTAATAGTCATGAGAGATGTTATTATACAACAGTTGGTTCCGGCCACGCAAGCTGATTGGTTGAGAAGCGTTCTAACTGCGCTGTTATTTCGCCATAACATCACGGTTTTTTCACAAAAAAAGTCTGGTTCCATTGACTTACATTAAAAGTAAAGTAGGTTTTTTCCTTCTCCTGTAAAGTTACCATTTTGGAGATTTAAGGTTTGGAGATTCAAGGTTATATATATATATATATGTAAAGTGTTTTCAACAAGTGATACAGTGAGGGTCCCAGTGTCTCTGTTATGCTGTGGGGGGCATTTTCCTGGCTGGTGATTAAGGTCCACTTTTCCTTTAGAGCAAAGGGTCACTGCATGTCTATACAGCGTTTTTCTGACTGGGCACTTTTATCCTATGATGAAACATTTCTATTCTGACAGGTGTGGTCTGTGCAGGATCACAATGCCCCCATCCACAAGGCACGAGCGGTCACTGAACGGCTCGATAAGTATAAAAATGCTGTAAATAACATCACAGTCACCAGATCTCAACATAAATGAACATCCATGGGAGATTTTAGACCAGGGGTGCACTAGTCCGGTCCTGGAGGGCCAGTGTCCAGCACAATTTTGAGGTTTCCCTGCTCAAACACACCCATTAAACCTGCCAATTAACAGATGAGTGTAATCAGGTGTGGTTGCGCAGGTAAATCACCAACGTGTGCTGGACGCCGGCCCTCCAGGACCAGAGTTGTGCATCCCTGTTTTAGACCAATGTGTTAGACAGTCTTTTCCACCACCATCATTAAAACACCAACTGAGGGAATATATTTTGGAAGTCCATCCCTCCAAGTCTCAAAGTCCTGTAGAATCTATGCTAAAATGCATTGAAGCTGTTCTGGGTGGCTCTTGGTGGCTCAACAAAACTTTTATGAGACACTTTATGTTGTTTTCTGACTTCACTGGTGTTTACCTGCAGTCCAGTGAAGCGCTGTGTTGGGCCACAGAAAAGGAGGTCAGGCCTCCCTGCAGTTCTCCCAGTCTGGGTGCTGGAGAGATGTTTGAACACAGCAGGTATCCACACTGCACATCCCTAAAAACATACAAAACTCATCACGTTTGTTTCTCCTGGACACCTGTGATCACACTGAACACAGGGAAGGACATTCAGACTCACTGCTTTTTACACTGAATCCATGTGTCCTTGTCCTTCCCACAATTCCCCTTCTCCGTGCCCTCGATGTTCAGCTTCTCGTAACAGAACTTATCAGCAGACATCGCCTCTACAACGATACAAGCAGCATAATACACATCAGAGCATTCTCTCACAAAAGCAACCCACAGGCTGAGAGTTAATGCACTTAACTGGTCATTTTAGCACTTACTCTCTCCCCAGATGTACTTGCACTGTCTGTCTTTGGTTTTGCATCTCCCGTTAAAACAACGGCCCTGAGGCAAGAAACAGGGTCGTAAAATTTTATGTGTTTATATTTTATTATAGGTATAAATATGTTTATGTTTTATTTATCCATTTAACACTATGGTAGAGTACCTTAAAACACCACAAAATATATTTAAAGTAACTAAATAAAAAATACATATACATAAAACAAATATTCAAAAGGTTAAATACTTAATATTAAAATAAAGTATTTTAATTATGAAATAAATACTCTATTTTAATAGAATCAAAACAGTAGTTCAATATTATAATAAATAAAAATAAATAATAATTGAAAATATTTTTAATTTAAATATTTTACAATATTATACTTAAAAATAAATTAATAAATAACTCTAATTAAATGACACTAATTACCTGATCTTTTTCACAAGTGTAGCCATCCATTTTGTGTACATTTGGAGGGCACTGCAAAGCAAAATAAAAGTCATAACTCAGCACTGTGGAGCCTGGCCACTTCCTATTTCCCCCGTTATATAAAAAAAAGGACTGCAAAACAGCAGAGGGCGCCCGCGAGCGAGTCCTCAGTTAATGGGAGTGAATGGAGCTCAACGGCTAAAAACAAAAAGTTAAAATAGTTTCTAATCACTGAACCAGAACTTTCCTTTAATTTTAGGAAGTAAAAGGATGGATTTCACTAAAAAAACAAAGAAATCTCACCTGTATGTTTCCTTTTTTCTACAGTAAACGGGTTTTGGGCAGCAGGATGCTAACATAACTGCTACTGAGTGCTGATTGGTTGGCGAGAGGAGCAGCTCATTGGCTGTTCGCACTCACAGACGTCATGGACGTTTATGAGGCGCCGTTTTAAACTCCTATAACTCGAGTTTAAAAGCTCTTAAAAATATATCAGCAGTGTTAAAATGCTCTACAAGTTCTTTGCTATTATATTGTTGTTGCATCCTGTCTATGTAAGAGCACCCTCACCTGGCTGGAGTTCCCCGTGCAGTTCTCTGGTATATCACAGTCATTGACAGCCTCTCTGCAGATCACACCCATAAACTCCATCTACAGGAACAACAGAGATAATCGAGATACAAACCTCTTACAAACACACAGACACACATAAACACGCCTGACACACAGTCGAGCATTTCATACCTGACAGTTATTGCAGCAGAGACCATTACTGCACTTAGAGCCCTGAGTCAGGGTGCACTTCTTACAGCAGTTCTCTCCTTCTCTAGCACACTCCTGCAGAGAGAGAGAGAGAGATGAACACATTGGTCCGCGATTCTCTTGGACAGGCAGGGAGAGACGGAGATGGAGGTTTTGAATGTCCAGAGAATCCTCACCGCTGGGGTTCCACAGTCACACTCCTCCCCCGGCTCCACGAACCCGTTCCCACACTCCGGAGGGTCCAGCAGCTACAAAAGATGGACATTCAGATGAGGAGAGACTAGTTTCTGGTGGTTATGGCAGCCCATTCACATGAGGTAGATATACTGCTAAAATAATTTTGCTGTCTCTGGCAGTAGCATATCAAAATTTTGACTTAAAAACATTTACTTAAAATTTTGACATAGTTCTTTTGGGGGGGATAATGACTTGTTTTCTCAAAATGTTGATGTATTATGTCAAAAATAACTTTTTTCATGAAATAGCATTGCAACATAATTCTAATTTACTCAAAATTTTTACTTACTATGGCTTATTTTCTCACAATTTTGATATTCTTAATATCTGAAGATTCTGAGTTTTTGGGACAAAATTTCAAAACACTATGTCGACCTAATGATTGACTAAATTTCAATTATTTTGAGATACTCAGTAAAAATTTCGAGTAAATAATTTCATAAGTATTTTTGGACTAGTAAGTGAAAATGTAAAGAAAATAAGTAATTATTACAAAATAGTGACAACATTTTTCATAAAATAAGCCATTATTTCAGCATAGCAAGTCAGACTTTCAAGATATTAAGTCATTATTTCAATGCAGTAAGGTAACATTTCAAGAAAATAATTATCTCGGCTTTGTTAATATTCAGAGACAATAAGTCATTATTTTGAGAGGGTAAGTAATTTAACTATTAATTAAAGTAATTACCTCAAGTCAATATTTCAATATTTTAAGAAAATAAATCATTATTTTGGAAAAAGTGAGTCAAAGAATAGCAAAGTGCAAGTTTTTCAAAAGTCATTATTTGACATAAGTCAAAAATTTGAGAAAATAGTAATAAGTAATCATCTAAGCATAGTAACTTTGAGACACTATAGTCAAAACTGATATACGGCTTCCAGAAACAGAAAAAGAGGAAAAATGTAGATGTGATTTTCCCCCCTCCACCTGGTGGGAATGGGCTTCCGTAAAACATGAAAGAAAAAAAATATATAAATATATATTAAAATATATATAAAAATATAAAGGAATCAAATATAGACAGTGTTGTGCATATAGTACTACATATTCTACTTTCTACTGGTGAACAAACCTCAGCTGCACTGCTGTGGGTTCAACTACAAATTACCTTAAAGTTGTCCAGTTAGTTTGTGTTATTTTGACCAAAACCATTTGCTTTTGTTAGACCACAAGAATTCCTTGACTCATCGAAAACCCACAGAACACTTACTGGGAATATCTGGAATTAGCCAAGATGCTCCCAGTGTGCAAAAAGTGTGATTTGTTTCAGAGCTCATTTGCATATTGCAGACTTCTGCAGCACTGATACTGGCGACTGACAGTGATTAACGAATGCAGCCGTATTGTTAAGCCATAAAGGCTATTGATGCAGTGCAGGAGGGCAGTAGAGCAGCAAGGCAGGGGCTCACTTTAAAGGGTTTATTGAAGAGACACGCCCCTCCGCCGCTGTTTAGGAAGTTGTGGTACTCCTCTACGTTGCAGTCGGAGAACCTCTTGGGCAGGTAGAAGCTGTCAAAAAGAGAGAGCTAAGGTTATACTGGACAGAGAAGAGTGAGTGTCCAGCAGTTGGGTCTTCAAACCCCAATGCTACATCTCAGCCCACAGAGCAGGCTGTGTGATTTATTATGTCTTACAAATACATATATGGAACATTAGAACAGTTCCCAATATACAGTTAAAGTAGTTAGGTATTAAAGGGACACTCTGACCAAATTCGCTGGTAACCATTGCTACATCTGTTTTAAACACGTCTACTCGCCTTTAAATGCTGTTCCACAGTAGATCCTAGAGCAGTGGTCACCAACCCTACTCCTGGAGATCTACCTTCCTGCGGAGTGTAGTTCCAGCCTGCATACACCATGCTGCCCCCTCCCCTTACATAACACTAACACATCTGATCCAGCCAACCAGTGACCTCTGAACAAGTTAATTAGCTGGTTAGCAGTTGTGGCAGATTGCGGTTGGAACTAGACTCCTCAGGAAGGTAGATCTCCATTACCAGGTTCGGTGACCACTGTCCTGAGTGAGATTTTCAGGTTTAAAGACTAGAAAAACCAAATTCTGATGATATACATTGAAGCTGAGATGAAGCTTTGAAACCTAACACTACTTTGAGGGTGAGGTGTTCGAAATGTTTTTTTTTGTAATTGTAAGCAATAAGCTTGTAACTCACTCACTCAATCACTCACATTTAACAAGACTGTCCATAAGGGGGAGCCACTGGCAATCTAGTAACTAGAGCGAAAACAATTTCGCGTTAGCTGGAATGGCTCTATTAAGCATTGTAGACAAGAGAGAAGTGGACTTTTGGGTACTATATGGTACTATATATGCTGGTGCTTCGCATCAGTGACACTGTACGTCCATGTTTGTGTTATCTGGCTAATACAGAAAACAGCCAGATAGTTAACAATACTGTTAAGACGCTGCATGATCAGTGGCTATGTTAGTGACCAGGATTTCTTTATCACAGCAAGAGGTATTCCCAGTGGTTGTATAACCATAGCCATCTGTGCATAGTGCATGCTGGGTATTGTAGTGAGAGACTGATGGACGAAAACATTGATACAAAATAGTGAATACAGACAAACTGATGAGGCTGAGGGGTGCAGTGATGTGCTACAAAATGACCCAACAAACAAATTAAATGCTAGTTTTAGCTTGGAATGCTCCTTTAAGAGAGTGTACAGCAGAATGCTTTTAGGCTGACATTCAGTTCTCCAACTGATGACCTATGCTATAGCCCTCAAGGGTCAGTTTCAATCAGAAACTACAATAGTTTATAGCTCATAGTTCCCTGTGTTGATGTGCAATTTGAGTTAGCCATCCTCTAGCCCTCCACAAGTGGTCAGTGTAGCATAAGCAGCTCTTGGTTGAACATTTTCAGGTGACATATATAGGGGACTGACAAAGTAGGTGTTTATAATAAAGTGGACAGTGAGTGTAGAATGCAACAGAAAATGACTAATGTTAAATTTAGCCATAATATGCAGCATAACCTTGCTCAGAATGTGAAAAGCTGGAACTGCTGAATATGAAAACTCCTCTATCATAACTATCAGTACCTCTGATTTTCAAGTGTACTGAGGTGTAGAGGAGGAAAAGACAAACACAACACCAACACAAAAGACACCTGGAGAGAAAATGGAACTGGAAGACGTTGCAAATGGAACTGGAAAAAGTTGCAAATACTCAAGACCACCCAGAATGAAACCCTTTAGTTCTGGCCATAAATGTCAATGCACTTCTACTAAGTTCATTTCTGCAAGCACCTCTATAGGAATTCTATTAGTATGTTAGTACTAGATCAACACTGGTGCAAAAAATGTTTGGCTATTCTGGACTAAATACACTCATTTCAAGTTTGTAAAAAATACTGCATACGTTTTGTTTTTTAGTTCCCATCCCAAATTTTAACATACATTCACCAAATATTTTATTAGGAACACCCGCTTGTATCTACACTCAATGTTCATTTTATCAGCTCCACTTACTATATAGGTGCACTTTGTACTTCTTCAATTACAGACTGTTTTCCTTTTATAACAACTGACTGAACATTAGTTAGGTTACGGCTCAGATTCTCTATCAGTGACATATAAAGAACTTCTAGAAGACCTAAAGTGGCATTTTTTCTTGGAAAATTTTGTAAATCAAAATGTGATTGGTTAATTCTATTGTCACGTTCGAATTATGTTGGTAGTGTAATGCCTTCAGTCCAGCTCCTGAAGTCCTAACCAGTGGGGGAGCTACTCTACCAAGATACCGCTGAGAAAAAATGCTGACTAAGCAATTTTTCACTGGGGGTTTTAAGATTTTCACCCTTTGGTTTCCAGCCAAAACAAAACTTAACAAATAAAACTACTATGATTCTGCTTAAGTAAAAATTACAGATCTAATTTTTTAGTTCCCAGAAATAGTTAGACCTTCTCTGAGGTCCTACAAGGCCCTGAGTGTTCCAGTCTGTTTTCACTAATGCAGTACTGAGTTCAGCCATAGGAACCAGACACGAGACTGCACTGCTAATGCAAGGCTACTTCATTTACGTATGTCTCCAGAGTGGTTAGCATTAGCGTAGCGGTGTCAATCTCAATCTCATTATAGACTACTCCTGCTGGTCTCACTCGCGCGCTCTGAGTCAGCAAAGTCTCCCCGGAGGTCCGGAGCCTTTGCCAAGACAATAATGCACATCACTCAATCCTCTACAGAACGCTAGTCGAATCACACTCGCCTTGTTTCCACTCCATCTACTTTTTTCTCTCCCCCCTGGACTGGACATCACCTTCTCTTTCAAATGCTGTAACGTTTTTTAAGAGCAACATTCACCCTTAAATTCAAGGACATCTTGTGTGGGGCACTTTTCGGAACGTACTAAATAACATTTTAACTTCAAAATACTAGTCATTCAACCTGAACTGCAGAAAATTGTATGAATTGAGCAGCATATAGATTCAGTTTCCTCATCATATAGTTCTATTGCCCCTTTTGAGTGGGTCTGAACAGCTGTAGGTTGAATAGGTGGACACAGGTAAATGTGTTGGCCTTCTTGACATCACCAAAACAATGAAATCCAAAACAGGCTGTTTTTGCAGCTTAGTTTCCATGTCATCACTGCCGGATTTCCACTTTTATTGCTCTTCACTTTTTTACTTGACAATAAAACAAGAGATGCCCTTAAAATTGTGTTAAAATTTAACAAAGAATGGACCAGTAGAAACTGTCCAAAAAGATGTGTTTCAATATCTCCCATTCAAAGTAAATGGTTTTTCCCTTCTCCTGTAAAGTTCCCAATATGGAGATGAGATGTTTTGTCCTGGCAGCGATGATATATGGACTGGGGGGTAACAATTCAGTTTTCTGTGATATGGACACTTCAAAAAGTTGCTTTTGGTAAAAGGTTTAGTTAATATATTAATATATTTGCTAAAATTGTAGTTGCTTGATAACTAGCTAAATTCATCCATTCATAAATCATCACAAAAAAGTAAAAACACTGGGAGGCAAAAATGTAAATTACAAAAAACTACCAAAAAATGGTAGTATGAGCAAAAATGAACAATAAATAAATAAATAAATAAATAAATTTAAAAATAACTAGTGTATTTAACAGGTATTGTCCAATTTGGTTTGGTTGGCTAGTCAGTGTTTAAACATTAGCCAGCCTGATGTGAGTTTGCTAAATTCATACAAAGAAAAAACAAAAAACAATAAACATTAATAACACTGGGGGGCATTTCTGCCCCTGAACTTGTAATACACTTTACCCTACAATTTTCTTAGATTTAATTTTTCCTCCTGAGGTCCTCTTACGATACTTGTGTGGTTTTATGTATAAAAAACAGTCGTAATTAATTATTACATGACCTTTTTTTAATCTAAAACAAATCAACAACCAAAAAACAAAACATTAATAACACTGGGGAGCATTTCTGCCCTTTGCCTTATTATTTCTGACACTGTCTTGCCCATTATCTCAAGACTAAATCACTGCCTGTCTCCTGTGCGCCTTTAAGCCTGTACAGCTGAGCTGGTGTCTGTCTGTCTGCGAGTACTCTCAGATCAATGGCCCATTAGTGTCAGCACCTGCAATCAAGCAATAAAGCGGTTACAGGAACCATTACCAGTGGTCTAATGGTCAACACGGTCAATGACTGCTTTTTAAATGCTGTGCAATCGGGACTCTCATCTTCCTGCACTGGAAATCCGTCGCTGCTTACCTGCTTAATCTCGAGAGATTAAGTCATTCATATACCTGTGGACAGGTTTTCATAGATACACTATACGGCCAAAAAAATGTGGACACCTGGCCTCAACACCTACATAAACTTGCTGGACATACCCTTCTAAAACCACGGGCATTAATATGGAGTTGGCTCCTCATTTGCGGCCATAACAGCCTCTACTCTTCTAGGAAGGCAAGATTTTGGAGTGTGTCTGTGGGAGTGCCCATTCAGTCAAAAGAGCCTTTGCGAGGTCAGGCACTGATGCTGGACGAGAAGGCCTGGCTTGAAATCAGCGTTCCAATTCATCTCAAAAGTGTTCAGTGGGGTTGAGCTTACAGGTCTGGGTGCAGCCTGCCAAACTTGGCAAACCATGTCTTTATGTATCTCACTTTCTGCACAGGGGCTCAGTCCTGCTGGAACAGGAAAGGGTCTTCCTCAAACTGTTGCCACAAAGTTGGAAGCATATAATTGTCTAAAATGTATTTGTATGCGGTAACATTAACATTATCCTTCACTGGAACTAAGAGGCCCAAACCCTGAAAAACAGCCCCAGCTCATTATCCCTCCTCCACCAAACTTTACTGTTGGCACTCTGCATTCCAGTAGGTAGAGTCTTCCTGGAATATGCCAAACCCAGATTTGTCCATCAGACTGCCAGATAGAGAAGAGTGATTCATCACTCCAGAGAACACATTTCTACCTCTCCAGTGTCTCCAGAGTCCAGTGGCAGCATGTTTTACATCACTATAGCCGACACCTTGCATTGTACATTCATGTATGCAGCTG